CCCAGTTGCTCAAACATTTTCTGAAGCAAATCTGGTGTAATTCCTCTCTCTGCAGGTTGCTGTAGAGAACCTCTCCATTCTTGCCATTTTTCTGGTGGTTGCCATTATAATATTATAATCTAAAAATGAAAGTGTCTCAAATGGGGGTGGGGTGGGAGGCAAGCCCCCCCTTTTTTTCTTTTATCTTCCTATGCCCTTAATACTTTTGTCTCAAGTTGCACTCGAGTTACAGTCAGCATCGCAATCAACATCTCCATGGATACAATCAGCATCACAGTCTGGCTCATATTACCTATATCTTTTGTTTTGTAAAATCCACCAATTGCCTACACTCTTTAATGGTAAACAAAAAATGAAGGTCCAGTTCATCTGTTTAATTTAATTCCAATTTGTTCAAAGCACTTTCACACATATACAAAAAAATATTTCAAAAGAACTGTCCCCTTTATCCATTTTAAAGTTTCTTACATGGACTTCTTGTTAAGCTTTTTGCCAAAAGTTTTTAAGTCTTTAAAGCCTTTTTTTCCCTCTTTATTCCTTTGTAATCCAGAAAAAATAAGAACTCACCAAGTGGAATTTTCTTATCCTGCCACTCAGAAAATCTCTCTTTAATTGTAAATTAGTTATATCCAAAAGTGGTTAAGAAATGAGACTTGTGAGAATCAGTCTGTATAGGCTGATTATGGCTGTGAGCTTGATTGAACTCCCTTGACTCTCAGCCGCTCAGTCACAAGCCGACTGCAAAAACTTCAGTTCCTGCAGTCTACTCACGAGGAACAGTTGTCCAGAGTGCAAGTGGGCAATCTCATGATCTCTCCTTTTTCCGGAAAGACTTCACCAGCCAGAATTGGCCATTTGGCTGCCAATTTCTGCCAAAATGCTGTCCTCACTCCTTCAGGGACATGTGGTTTGCCATGAATCCTCACCAGAAGTGAGAAATTGAAATCCAAAATATGTTGAGGGACTGCTTTTTGGGAGACTATTCTACATCATGGTTTAAACAATTGTCTGTATTGAATAATATAT